CCACTGCACTCTAGCCTAGGCTACAGTGCAAGACTCCATCTCAAAACAAAGAAAACAAAACAAGGAACTTCTATTTCTCTCACTTTCTAATATTATTTTAATACATCCTCCAGGGATTTCACTAACACATACTTTAGATCTCATTCTGATCTCCCTGTCCCTGCCAAGTCCACCAACTTCTGCCCTATCATCTATCCTCATGTCTCTCTGTGTAACATACTGACTTACTTTTTGCAGAGAATCATCTAACCAATTAATTCTTTCTTCTCATGTCTAATCCATCCACTGAGTCTCTTATTTCAACAATTACATTTTTAATTTTATTTTATTCAGAGAGAGAGTCTCACTCTGTCACCCAGGCTAGAGTGCAGTACCACGGACCTGTAGCCTTGGCCTCCTGGGCTCAAGTGATCCTCCCACCACAGCCTCCTGAGTAGCTGGGACTATAGGCAGGTGCCCCATACCCAGCTATATGTGTATATATACATATACATATATGTGTGTGTGTGTGTGTGTGTGTGTGTGTGGTGATGGTGGGGTATATTTTGTAGAAATGAGTTCTCAGCATGTTGCCTGGGCTTCTTTCCAACTCCTGGGCTTATGCCATCCTCGTGCCTCAGCCTCCCCAAAACTGCTGGGATTTCAGCTGTGAGCCACCATACCCAGCTATATATTTTATTTCTGTATTTCATCCATTTTCCTTCCAGGTCTTCCTCATCATTTCTGGTGGTCTTACTGCTTGCTCAATTTTATGAATGAATTTATATATATTTTAAATACACATTAGATTTCACATGTAACTATTTTCCCACATAATATTTGAAGTCTGTGTTCTGTATCTGATGATTCCAAAACCTACAGTCTTTGGGAAACATATTATTCATTGTTTCTAACAATCCTCAAATATCTTGGGTTGACTACTTGAAGTTATGATTTATCTGAATTCATAGTTGCCTGCTTTTAATCTTTGGAAACCCTACAGGCTTCAGGTAGAGATAATTTCCTACAAGAAGTATTGGTGTCTGCTTTTGATGAGAGCTGTGGAGACAACTAACATAAGCCCACTTTACCACCAAGTGTAATCCTGACATTCTCTTGAATTCTCTTGGAGAATCTCAGGATTACACAAGGTTCTCAAATGTGGCTCCACAATCTTGCTCATTTATACACAGAAGACTAGACTGCTTAGTATTGTTGGTGACTCCCTTCCTCCTACCCTGGAAAAAACAAAACAGATCTCTCATCTGAATGTGATCACAGACTAGGAAATTCTGAAGGTGAATAACGGGAGGCTGTGGGCAGCAGGGAAAGACAGATGTCTTTCCTGACCACAGAAATAGGTCAGAACCTGCCCTAAAGGCTGTGTGCTCTAGCATTTCACTATTTAGCTCAACAATCAGTCCCTCCGTAAAAGTGAACAGAAGCTTCTTAGAGCACCATGCGGCCTTTAAACCACAAACTCTTGCTAAAAGTCATGGTCATGGTAAAAAAGCTATGGCTTTGGAAGACTTTCTCAGTAATGTCCTAGCATTAAGATTACAGCCTGCATTTCATGTTAACTGAACAGAAAACCAGCCTGAACAACATCCTTCTGTCCCATGGCGTGCTCTCAACTCCTCTCGGTTGGGCCTTGGGCAGCCAGACTGTCTGGTTTTAATCGTTGCTCTGCCACCTGTGACCTTGGATAAGTTACCCACCTTCAGTTACCTCATCTACAAAATGCAGATATTAATAATATCCTCTTTTTAAGCTATTAAGAGGATTGAAAGAATTAATAAAAAGTAAAAATTAAAAAGACTTGGTAAGCATAGGCACAGAGGGGAAAGAAAAAGTAAAAATCAATCCATAAATAAAAAGACTAGTGCCTAGCATGTAAAAGTTCATCAGAAATTAATTCTATAATATGAACTCAACTTTGCAAAAAACTTCAAAGTATATATAACTTTTAACTTACTAGGGTATACATAGCGATAATAAGTTTACCAGTGTAGCCATGTTTGCCTACAGTAAATATAACAAAGACTAAACAAGCAGGTTCTAAATCATTAAGTGATTATCAGTTAGTATCTGCAAACTTTTCTAGAGATCATCTTTGCAACAAGAAGAAAACAAACCAAATGAAAATGAAATGAATTCTCTCAAAAAGAATTAAATCAAGACAGGAACAAGGCTCACAAAGTAATACAAAATATATCTTATGGTTTATGTAAAATTCTTAATGAAAGTACCTTCTTTGCTCCAAGCTGCATTCTGGCTTTGCCTTTGAGTCAGGAGGCATTTCTTTGCACGATGACCAATTCTATCGAGTAGGCACTGCTTCAGCCCGACAGGAAGAACAAAACATCTCTGGAACACAGCAGCATTCCTGATTCCCACTTGAGAAGGCCTAACAAAATGGCATATGCCTCAACAGCAGCAGATCAGTGTTAAAAAGTCTGGAGTCAAGGGGGAAAAATAAAAGTGGACCATTTCCAGAATCTCACAAAAAGCAACAAACCAATGTTCTAAGTGCCCAACACGAGCAAATTAGAACCTTAAATAGAGGAAACTCTTAATGCCTATCCTGGCATAGATTCAGCACCAAGTACAATGTCATTTTACTGGTTTACCTTTTTCATCCTCAAAAGTAGGGGCTATGAAAAAAAAAACACTAAAATTTCTTTAAGAGAACCTTCTACTTACAATCTAACTTACATAATCAAAACACTCTATTGAGGGTGAAAATTGAGTATTATAAGAAAATAATCACCTGTTTTGTGAGAAGTTTCATACATAATGCTCCTCCACCCAATACATACCTTAAAAAGAAAAAAGGAAACATACAAAATTATATCGAGAATTATCCCTGCTTAAACAATTTCTACATGTCATTACTAAGAAAGTATGCACACAGTAAAGATGAAAAGAGAACATGCAAGCATGAGCGTAATTGTTACTGATATAGGACTACGGGCAACTTAAAAATTCTATTGGTATTACTCTCATGTAATTGCTCTGAAATTGTAGTCAATTGTTTGAAATGCCTCTTAGAACAAAATAGTTTGAAATTTTTATGATGTCAAAAACTAAGAAGTTAGCCCTAAATATTCCAAAGAATAGGGGCAGAAAAACCCATTCCCTTAAATGGCACTGGAGTTTTCTTTACAACTCAAACTTTCTCTCCCATCCTGTGATGGCCAAAAGTTTTTCCTCTGACAATGGCATTGACCTTACCCTATCCAGAATATGAACATCTGCATGGTTTCATGGTTAAAATTGTTTTTACTTATTCTGTCATGAGAATCCAATGGTTCAGACCATGCAGCTCCTCTCTGGGACTCCTCAAGTCCTTTCTAGGTCTGAAGACTGTTTTCTGAACCCAAGACAGCTTCTGGGGATGTACCAAATCTCCCCGTAGAAAATTATTTAGATCAAGATGTTTTAACCTTTTAACTTTTTCTCAAACAAAATAATTTCATTTCTCCTTTACTGTTATTTTAAATTTCAAAATACACAGATAACATGCCTGAAATAAAATTAAGGGGATAACAATTTTAGAACACAAACTCTGGTAATTTTGAAGACACAAAAGCTAAGACCACTGATGAGGTCTATGTGGACACCAAGTCCACCACAACCTGTTCTGTTTTCCGGGGCTCTGCCCACGCCTTTCCCTTGCCTGAGATTCCTTCTGCCTCCTACACTTTCAAATGCTGCATTTCCCCCCGGAAGAATTGCCAAGACCACTTCAGCCTGCACATCTTCCATTCCAGCTAAGCAAAGGCATCCTTGCACTGACTAAATCAAATTACTCTGTAGAGAAGGCATCTAAAAACTTCTACTGTAGACCATTCATTCACCTTAATAATTGTTATCATGACATTATTCAATAATAAAATGAGGGAAAGAAGTCCTCTTCACTCCCTTATCCTGGAGAATCCAAGCCAGTGTCTTTCCCACTTGCTTTGCACAAACCCTAGGACCTTTCAAAGTAACAGTCTAATGGAAAGGAAAGAAAATCTAAAAGAAAAACTCTCCAAAAAATTAAACTTGGGCAAAGAATCATGGGATTAAAAATTTTTATTCTTCGTGTATTTGATTTCTGAAACATAGAAATCTATCTCCCACTGCTTAAATCTGCCACTGGACTAAAGGAGTATTGTATAGAATGTGCACTCACTGATTTAACAGAATTAGAACATCCAGGCACTCACTGAGATTTTGCTTCCACAATCACTCAAAGTCTAGTCATTAGTTAAAGAGTTAACACCATGCTTGATCTTCACGTTTTGGAAATGCTGACAGTCGACAGGGACTTGTTTTGGGAAAGGAAGTATACAGTAGACATTGCTACCCATTGCCAGCCACCACCACCTTTCCTTTAAAGCACCCCTCTCTCCCTTTAAGGTTGCAGAGTCTCAGAAAGTGAGAAGAAAGTAAGTGTTTGCATTTTCAGGTCAAAAGAAAGTACATTTGTACAACCAAATTTGTAAAACCGGACTACAGGCACCCGCCACCACACTCCGATAATTTTTTTTTGTATTTTTAGTGGAGACGGAGTTTCACCGTGTTCACCAGGATGGTCTGGATCTCCTGACATCGTGATCCGCCCGCCTCGGCCTCCCAAAGTGCTGGGATTATAGGCATGAGCCATCGCGCCCGGCCTATCACCATAATATTTTTAAAAGGGGCTTTTGCTTCCCGTTGTTGTGATCACCCATTTTTCACTTCAGCATTTTGAACTTTAGGTTTCCTGTAGCTGTTTTCCTGAGCCCTGGAGTTACCGGGCTCAGAATGTCTCCACCACCTTGTCACCTTGCAGGCAGACACTTCTCAGCATTTTATTGGGCTCTGTGTGCTTGATGCTTAAAGTGACATGGAGATATGCCACTTGCTGAGGGGCAAAGGAAGGCAAAAGGTGACTGCCTTCCTGGCATCGATGAAGGCAGAGAGAAGGGATCTTGGAGGCACAGAGCTTAAGGCATAAGCAATAAACAAGGGTTGCCAACAAAAGAACTAACCCCTCTCCTGACAACATTTGCAGGTGTTTTCCACACGGCCAGTGCAATTCACAATGTGAGCGCTGTCCAGCACCAAAGGGAATGGCCAGCAGGCACAGAGCAGCCTGCAGCGTCCAGCACCCAGGAGGGTGGCCAGCAGGCACGGAGCAGCCTTCAGCATCCAGCACCAAAGGGAATGGCCAGCAGGCACGGAACAACCTGCAGCGTCCAGCACCCAGGCGGAAGGCCAGCAGGCACGGAGCAGCCTGCCTGTCCCAGGAAAGCAGGAGTCACAGGACACAGCTGGACCCAGGTAGGCATGTATATTAGTTTCCTGTGGCTGTTACAGCAAATTACCAAACATTTGGTGACTCAAAACAACAGAAATTTATTTTCTCACAGTTTTGGGTAACAGAAGTCCAAAATCAGTACCACTGGGCTGAAATCTAGGTGTCGGCAGAGCCAGTGCTCTCAG